AAGAATTTAATAAATTAAAAAATCGGGGGGGGGGGGGGGGAGATTTTTGAAAATCTAAAAGAGGCGTTGAGTAAAAAAAGGTTGGGAATCACTGATTTATGGCATACGTGTTTCCTTCAACTTCATATTTTTTATATATTGAGATGTAAAAAATGAATACGATAATATTATATTGTTTGACATTTTAGATTCTGAGCAGAGCGAGGAAGCTAGTGGTTTTACAATGGTGTTTATTTATTTATTTTTTTTATATATTCTGTATACAAAATTTCTACCAGATGGAATACATCTATTTCAACATATAGTACCTTATCTTTTAGCAAATTGGATCAAGATGGTACTTTAGAGAGGTCATTTTTCGATTTTCTCCATAGTTATTTAATGTCACGGGGAAAAGTACTGAAAAATTACGAAAAACCGCTTAAAATGGGATGTTAATTTCTAACAATTTGTTTATCACCGTAGCAACGAATAAAAAATTATAATACTATAATATTAATTCAACTTAAAGGTTATAATAAATAATAAAAATTTAAAAAATCCCGACTGATAAACCGTCCCCCCTCAGAATCGTTTTTCTTATACAATGATATTATATCATTGAATTCAAGTTTAATACAATGATATTATATCATTGAATTCAAGTTTAATACAATCCATTATACATTGAACCATTTGTAACCTACTGTAAAGTAGAGCGACATCCACTTACCTGCTTTTTTAAAAATATTATTAAAAATCTTATGGATTTTGAGCGACAAAATAGAATAATATGTAGTTGTGTGTTCAGTGTTCAGAGTACGTTCGTTTTTTTCTCAGCGGTAATCACACCATACAATATGTACAAGGGGGAATGTCCCAATCAGAGGACACTAATTTTACCGTATTACGGCATCACCTGGAAATTGAACACTCGTTAGTCGTTGTCCACCTATATGACCCTAACACAAAAAAATTTACCGTATTGCATTTTACAGGGAGATTTCACAATTTTGTCCACGAATTCTCGCATTACACAAAATATTTACTGTATTTAAAAATTACATTTGCCGAATTGCAAATAAGCCACATAGGTAGGCAATCTGACTTCGTCGGATGGTGGACAATAATTTTATGCGAACCCTATTTTATTATTAGGTATGCAATCCACCTCCGATAGTCTATTAAACTTTTGTCTGTGCCTAAATTGCATTTTTTTTTTAAATAAATGATTCCTAAAAAAAAACTGATTTATTTCATAAACATTAATATGCGTTGAATTTGCCTATAAAAACCGCTTCTATTCATAAAGTATGACTAAATTAATTGTCTGATGATCAGTAATATTATCGAAATAAAAACCAAATCTAGGGAGAAACACATTAGAATGTAGGCTGGATTTATCCTCTAAAGTAGTACAACTTATGATTTTTTATGATTAAAATTCGATGTTTATATTTTGGATTTACTTCGATTCTATATTTGATACAGTAAAGAGGAAACAATACTAACTGAACAACGACTAGGTCATATTAAGATTTTTAGCAGCTTATGATAGTTTTGAATACAGTACAGTAACTACAACACTAAATTTAAGTTCTGAAAAAAATTAGACACTTGCAAGGGTACAAAATATAATTTGTTAATAGCCATATAGGATAGGTATCTGTTTACCATTATTAAATATAATATTATAAATCTATTACATTTGTATAAAAATATATTATAAATTATATTGAAAAAGTTATATAATAGTTTAAATGTTTATTGTTTTTATTTATTAATTATTAGTTATTATGTTAAAAGGTATGCAAATTCAATTGTTGAACACAAGTGGCTTATGTCACAAGTCACAATGCATATTTTAATTTATTATAACTATTTGTAGTTGTATTTCTTCTAAAGAATGATACTTAGAAAGATAGGTAGGTAGGTACTTAGACTAAAATAAATCTGTACGGATACAATATTGGTGTATTTTAGAATCTGAGTGGAACGATTAATGTATTAATTTTACAATGATGTGTGTTCTTTTATTGTTTTATTTTAGATTCTGAGTGAAACGATGAATGTATTGATTTTACAATGATGTGGGTTTTTTTATTTTTTTATTTATTTTTTTTGTGTCTGTGTACACGATAAGTAGTCGAAATAATGCTTCGATTTTCGACCTCAGTATCTTGTTCGATTGGAAAGTGAATATCGTTGGTGCATTGGGGTGGTCAAAATTTAAAATTCCCAGTACTTTTCAAAAGCGCCAAGAAAAACAAAAGAAAAATTAAGGAAAAACGTAAATTTTTACACAAAATCGATTTTTCAGAAAATAGAATTTGGTTTTTGGTGTAACTTTAAAACAAATGACCGTAGATACATGAAATTTTCACTGGTTGTTTATATTTGCATTTTCTATACACGATAACATTTTCAAAATATTTTGATTTATTTTGAACTGTTTAGGGACATTTTCATTTTTCATTTTTTTTTAGTTTTTTTTCTAGAAATATCAATTTTATTTGTTGGTTAAAAAAACTTGAAAATTTAATAGAAGGCTCTTAGTATATTGTTTCAAAGGCAGATGAAAAATATTAAAAATCGTTAGCCACAGTTTTTTTTTATAAGCATTTAAAGTTCAAAAATTGACAAAATATTGAAAAATCACGAAAATTAGCTAATTATTTTGAGTTAAGAATTCGTAAAAATTTTTTTTTTTAAATCTAAGATTTTAAAATGTAATACAAGATTCCTTATAAGATTATCTACCTTTATCAAAAAAAAATGTCTATAAGAAAGCCAAATTACATTTTTACAGCATTGGATATTCACTCGATTTTTCATGTAGTGATTTCCTTATTTTGTTGTAATTCAAAAACGAATAACTATAGATACATGAAAATTTCACTGAATGTTTAAATTATCATTTCCTATACACCATACAATTTTGAAAATATTTTGACTCTTTTTGAGCTATTTACGGACATTTACCGCTTTCAATTTTTTTTAGTTTTTTTTTCTATAAATATCAATAAAGTTTTATCTGTTGGGCCAAAAAGTGTAAAAATTTAATACAAGGCTCCTGATATATTGTTACAATATCAGTTGAAAAATGCTAAAAATGTATAGGCACAATTTTTTTTTATAAGCATTTAAAGATCGAATTTTGACACAATTTATCAAAATCTCGAAAATTATCAATCATTGTAATTAATAAATTATAAAATGTTCAGTTTTTATAGCTATAAGGATTGAAAATTTAAAACAAGATTCCACGTAAGTAGTTAATTCTCTTACCGAAAAATTTAAAAAATATACAATCACAGTTTATTTTTATGGTTATTTTATGTTCAAATTTGGACGAAATTACATATTAAAAAACCTAGTTATTTCTAAAGTGTACTATTATATATCTATGATAGTATCCGGGTTTGTTATTGATGTTGATGTATAACGTGTTATAAGTACCTAATGGATATTGTGATATGATTAATTTGGAATTTATTATAGGTCAATTTTTTTTTTAATACCATAGATATGTATATAATTTGTCTTAAACCTAGACTGACATACCGTCTTCGCTCAGAATCGTTTTTCTTATACAATGATATTGTATCATTGAATTCAAATTTAATAGCATCCATTATACAGTGACCCAGGTTACACGTACAGCAGAGCACCTTTTTAAATTTCATATTATGGACTTATTCATTAAATATGCAATTAATTGATGTGATAGTAATTTGTTTTAGATTAAACAATATAAAATTATATGAATAAGTAATGATATTATATCATTTATTGAAAATTTATTCATTAGCAAATGGTGAGTTAAATATTTAAATCCTAGACCCTGGAAAATGTTTAGAATGTGGATTCATATATGAAAAAAGTTATGGTACAAGGTATTTTATTTTATTTTACAATGATAAAGTAGTGTTTTAAACATAATTTCTATACTTATGTAGTACAGTAGATGCTATGCATTTTGTATTGTTGTTTTTTTTTTTTACATATTTTTTTACATAAGTAAAGGCGCCTTCACAGCTCACCGTGAAACGTGAAACGTGATAATATATAATTTGTTCCCGTAAAAATATTCTTAACCACGACTGTCAACCATACGGTAAACACACGCTCTGAGTAGGATTGAACTCAACTATACGGTATAAGCGGTATAGATAAGGTATTATAAGCAAAAAAAAGGTTGGTTAACCATTAGATAACCACATGGTTCAACCAATCACAGTTCTAGAATATATCACGTTTCACGTTTCACGGGGAGCTGTGAAGGCGCCTTAATATTGTAATGATGATATTATATTATAATGTAATGACTAATGAATATTATGAAATGAATAATGATAAAAATATGACTGCCCGAGGATGCTTCCCATGCATTTGTTGTCTCCGTCTTACACACGTACGACATACGCAAATTATTTTGGACGTCGGCATTATAATTTATTTTTACTCTCACTCGTTTATTATATGAAAAACCCACAAGCCGTTACTACAGACGGCCAGCCGAGACTTGTATTTTTAACTTGAAAAACAAAATTATGGGCTTACAAATTATCAAATACCATACAAGGCGCGGGGCCCCAAAATGGCGGCCCTGTGCAGATGCCCCTTCTGCCCTGCCTTCCGCCGGCGCTGTAATATGCACCTACAATAGTTAGGTAGGTATCTACTAATAAAAACATATAATAGGCACCAAAATAAAATAATTTAATTTATAAGCTATTCCTGGAATTATTACGATTGCAACAATGCCGATAACAACAGCGCGATGTAAAATATATGCGAATATATTTATTGTTGTGCGACCGGTTGTTACTTGTTCTATACACCCGTATGGGTTGCTCGTAAAAATAGGACAAATATCGAATTCTCACAAATTATAATCAATGTACAATCCGTCGGGTTTCATTAATACGCATACGCTGTTTATGTTGTCTGTTGAACACTGCTCTTTACGTACAACACTAATTTTGTCATTTTAATTTGTTTTAATACAATTTTAAAAAATGGAACACCAAAATTATCAATATAAATCAAACGGTACTAAAAATAATGTTGAGTAAGTTTTTTTATATATTACGTGCACGTTACTACCAAAGTATGAACTTTTTTACCAAACTAGTTTTTTTTTACCATTTAGATATTATACTTGCTCCAGTCCAAATGTCTCATGTAATGGTACACTTAAAAGGAAAATTGATGGAACAATTGTATGCGGTAAATCACACACCCATGATCCTTTTCTTCAAATAATTGAAAAAAATAAATTTCGGAAAGTACTTATCGATAGAGCACAATCCGAGACAACACGTTTGAAAATTATTTATGATGAAGAAGCTATCAGGTATAGTACCTACATGTATTACGAATTTGGTTACTTATGAAAATTCTCGTTTTTAGGATCGTTCACTTAGGCCTAAGTGTGTTGATTTATTATATTTGAGGAGTACTGGAAGGGTTTCGGCCCACTATTTTCTGTAAGCAACCAGCCCGTTTTCTACATTTATAGCCCCAACTTAAACTAACAAAATATTATATTCTTCTCAACAGTATAGTAAATACAAGAATTAGGATTTAGGAACTTTTTTATGTTGATTACAAAGAAAATGTAAAATATATCAATACATATAGGTATAAACACAGAATATAAGAATCAGTTACGCTAAGTAGCAGTATGACAAAATAAATCTTATAAATTATATATTTATTTAATTAGGTATGTGTATGATAATAATTTAGATAAAATATGACAATATGAGTTTTTAATAATGTCCAAAATATCTTCAATCTTCAAATCATTCAATATATATTTTTCTACAGACATTAATAAAAAAAACATCCAAGGGGTCATTAGATAATGAAGCGCGTAGACAATTTTTGATTATTTTGAATTTGCTAATTACTCGTTCACAATTAACCTGAGTTACCGATAAGGTTAGTACATATTCCATGGCTGCATATAAATTAGAATAAGCAGGCATATGTAAATTAAGTAAATTAAAAACACAAATCAGACAATTCTCTCGGGCATATATAGCTTTTTCGTCATGGATAGAATCAATAATGTTCACATTCAGATCCCAAAAAAAATGTTTCATACAAATATTCTTAACACAAAATATATTATAATACCAATAGGGTTAACTTGAAAAAAAAGTATCGCAGTAACTATAGCAAATACTTCAAAAATATCTATATTAATAACAGGGTCATATTTTTATACATTGAAAACGCAAGTGACTGAAAACAATGTTTATATTTGTTGGTACTTGAGAACTTCCTTTACATTTGTATTGGGAATAGTGTAATGTTCATTAATTTGTATTCACAGTCTTTTAGTTTAGTGGTTAGTCTTACACTCAATTTAGTGGCCCAGTCCGGCCCTGCATAAATATATAAGTTTGTAGTTTGAAGAGTGCATCAATGTATGAGTTTGTGTCAAGAATTAAGAGTTTAACTTACATTTGTTGTGTCTTTCAATCTAAATAGCAATAAGTCAAAATGAGTATACTTCAAATAGTACTCAGGTCTCGTTGGCTCTAAATACTTATATTATGCTGAAACCCACTGTTTATGTTTTTATAGCTGTGGTGCCAAATATTTTAAAGATAATATATTAATAGGTATATATATATTGATAATGAATATGTAATTTTTAAAACCAACAATAAATCCATCTCTATTTTGTTCTCACTTGGGAGTCGATTTAAAGAAAAACATTTTGTAAAATATTGATATGGGTACGACAAATTATACGAGTAGGTACATGTTTTTATAATTTAATTTACTATTATATTAAAAAAAAAAAACAAGATATTAGATTTATTTGAATAAAATATTTTTTGATGCCATACCTAACTAATGTAATAACTCCAAGTACATTTTTCATGTCTTTAAATTCAGTAATAGTTTAATAATTTGATAGATACTCATCAATAATTTTGATATATTTAAATTAACCTTATTATTCAATATTATTATCTAGAAATCCAAATATGGCTTACACTTATCCTTGGACATCAGCCGAGTCATCAATGCGTAAGGCAAGACGTGCACATGTTCCGGTTCTACCTGAAACTCTAAATGCTTTGGGAGAGATTTTGGCAGAACAGGAAAACTTGATTCAGTGCAATGGTCATCGATTTTTTCAAGAGTGTGTAGTAGATGGCAATGGGAAAGCTCATGTTATGTTTGCCTGTCCAGAGGTTATCAATGATGTAATTTTAAATGAAGGTACGGAATTGCATGCTGATGCAACTTTCAAAGTCGTACCATCTATGCCCAAATGCCGGCAATTGTTTATAATGCATATAATTATTCAAAATCAAAAATGTTTTAGATTTTTATTATACTATAAATATTATTGTATTACACTCTATGTGACCATATGTATAAGGTATAACAAGACTATTTCACTAATTCTAGTACAAATGTAAAACAGTATTTTTTACAATTTATTCTTAAACTTTTTACATGTTATTTAAATGAAATAAAATTAATAAATTATACATTTACAGTCCGTTCCAATATGTTATGTTTTAATGGAAAGTAAAACTGAAAATGCCTATCTAACGGTATTAACAAATTTTAAAAGTATTTTTCCAAATGTCCAGCCTTCAGTTATAATGACTGACTATGAAGTCGGCTTGAAAAATGCATTTTCAATTGTATACCCTGATGCCGTTTTAGTTTCGTGCTGGTTCCATTATGTACAGGCAAGTATTTAGCATAATTCACTATATTAACGTTAAGAATTATTTTAAAACTTTTAATCATTTATTAGAGTTTGTGGAAAAATATAAAAAGGTCGCACTATACAACATAGGTACATAAGGGATAATGAACGAGCAAAAAAATGTTTAAAAATGATGATGGCACTTTCATTGCTTCCTGGAGACCAAATCGAGTTGGGCTTTCAAGACATTAAGACATATGCTAGAATAAATAATATAAATTTGGCAAGGTTTTTCAATTATTTTTCTAGGTAATATTTATCATGAAGTATATTCCTATATACTTACTTAATTATATTTCAAATAAAATGTGTAAATATTAAAATTGTAATATCTAATATTAATATTATTAATTAATGCAGACAATGGATAAACCGGACAGGGCCAAATGTTTTTTCTGTATACGGACAAGCTAGGCGCACCAACAACAATATTGAAAGCTTCCATGGAAAAATGAAAGATAAGCTTCAAGTATGTCATCCAAATTTATGGAAATTTCTGGGTCAGTCAAAATTACTCAGAAGCATATAAGTTATAAACTAAAATTTACATACAAATTAATGTTTTCATTAGGTCATCTGAGTGATTATAACAAATTACAACACATTATTATTGAGCAATTGTCAAGAGGGATGCAAGTTACTAGATCAGTGAAGAATAAATATATCCTGAACTCACGACGGATTAAAATAGCTTCAGATCAATTAGAACTGGGGATTTTGACCAGAAATGAATTTTTAGTGAAATGCTCTCATACAGTTGATGGCTATATTTTGAGAGAGGGTAACTGGAACAGAAATGTCAATGGTAGGTTACTCACTTATAATAATATTTTAAAAGAGACTGTATTTTTTTGTTTTTTGATAAACTCAAATAGTGCTAAGCCCAGTGTCAGTTTGAATGATTTACATAATTATTATTTTTTGATAAAAAAACTTACTATACAAATTTAGGTACATAGGTAATGTATAATAATAATCAGTAATCACAAGCAAACGGGAAAGTTATAATTAGGCATTAACATAAATGTATTTTAAATTTTTAAATTTTGTTGTTGGGCCTCCTACAGAAAAGAAAACCACATCCTCCAGTGGTTGCTGGGTAGCCTGGTGGGCCCGACTGACACTGACTAAGCCATTATTGAAGTAGTTTTCGCCAAAATTTAAAAAAAAAAAATCAAGGAGAAGGTATAACTTTATACTTCTTAACATGGAATTCCATTCCTGAACATTAGCTAACCTTTTTATAAGTAAAAGATTGGGATTAATAATAAACCGTTCAATGACAGTAAATCAGCACCATTTAAACTGAATAATATCTTTTATTTTTAGATGATATTGTAGATGAATTTTTATCTTCGGATGATGACCCCTTACCATTGCAACAAATAGCGCAGCCAATTGTGATTATAATGGTAAAATAAAATAATTATTTCTAATTATATAATATAAATATAAATAAATCACAATATCTTTAACAGCCAGAAAATGACGGACAAGAAATTAATTGGCAGAATAATATCGAACAAGGTATAGTAAAACCATAATAGTATAGTAGGTATATAGTAAAGTTTTTTTTGTGAAAATGTTACTCATGTGATTTTAATTTAATCTCTATAGAATATAACATTCCTTGTAATTCTTTCACTGACTTCATTGATTTATTTTCATTGCAATGTAAAATAAATATTTTTTGATGCAACTAGATGGCATGTATCTCTGTCATCACTCAGCCTAATTATGTCACAGTATAGTACTTTTCATATATTACTACTTTTATTAACATATATATTTTATGCTCAATATTTTATTAGATGAAAACATGCAAGCTAGTAACCAAGAAGATGAAAACATGCAGGCCAATGATAATAATGAATCAGGTAATGGTATTTTAATATAAATTTACATTTTATATACCTAAAACAGATATAGAATAAACATTAAGATATATCTTACTTATATACATATTTTTATTTTTTTTATTATGGACCTTCCATAACATTAATTATTTGTTACTTAACTTATGTAATCCAACTTTACTTTTTAGCTTGTTTATGCCAGGTGGCTCATATTGAAAATTATAACTATTTTTCAGGTATAAATCAACCTCTGAATAATGAAAATGGATCTCCTTCACATCAAGAAATTCACTGTAAGTTGATTTACTGTGCTTTTGATTTTGATTTTTTTATCATGATGAGCATACTTTAATTTAACCTAATTTGTCTTATTTATAACCATTAATAACATTAAACAACTATCTAGCCTTTAAAAAGGATATGTCCTACTTCATACAACTTCCTTCGCCCTAAGTTTAACCACAGAATTGTAATTGTGAAAAAAAATGTTGGCAAGTTAACATTTTTTTTTTTTTATATTTTTTTAATACATCTAAGTACCAACTACCTATCAAAAAACCTACTTGTCTAAAATAAATCCCGAAATTCTGAACTCATACTTGAATCCCTACTACCCGAAAAAAGTACCTATACTAAAAACCTCATTCACAATTTTCATTATTCTTCGGACAGAAATTAACTTAATTTAGATACCTACTTTTGAATAAAATTAACTTAAGTTAATACGTTAATCTGAAAAAAAGTAACTTTAATAAAGTTAAAAGTTAATTTGAAAAAAAAACTAACGAGTTAAGTAACTTAATTTTAACTTTTAACTCGTTAATACCCCCAGCCTTGTGTGAAAGTACAGAATACCTTTGTTGCTATGATATTATGAAATTTCAAGTCATGGGAAAACAAATGTTGTTATTGGCCCTATTAATCTATAATTATATTTATAATAAATGGTTACCTAGTCTGAGTTTCTTGATAATGTACAACAGTTAGTTGGAGACTATTTCAAAAATTAAATATGATTTCTTCTTTTTTAATCTGCATATTTTTAGTAAATATAAATGCATAATTCTGAACTTTTCAAGACAAATTTCAATGTATATTTTGCTAGTTTTTAGTGCAAAAGTTGATGCTTATTTAGGAATTTTTTAGGGCATAAACTTACGACCCCGGGTCATAATATTAATATTGATATTAATTATAGGGAACGAGGAAGATTTCATTATACCTGAAGAGTTAGATATAGACATTATTTATATGATGGATATTGAAGAAAATAGGAGAATTTTGGAAATGCAAAATTTACCTTACGTCCAAGTCAAAGTACCTGAAGTTCTTCCTGCTGTTGAAACAGAAAACCAAGCAAATATGTGTGTTGCTTGTCTTGATGCGGAAAGTACTCACGCCTTGTCTCCATGTGGACATAAATCTTTGTGTTTAATGTGTTTAGAATCATTAGTTTCAGAACACTGTCCAATATGTAACAGTATATTCACTTCAAATTTACGCATTTGGTAGTGTAAATATTATTTTTCATAAAATAATGTTATTTGTTGATAATTATTATTATTATGTACACAAGTAGTACAAATATTAAAAGATATTTTGTAAAAATAATGATTATTGCATATTTGTTTCTGAGTTTGAGCTTGAAGCGTTTAATGTATCATAGTTATCCTCACTATGGACCCTATTTGTCTGTACCAATATAATCCTGTGAAAGCATAGTAAAAGCATAGCTTTACTACAAAGGTAATATATTTATTTATTCAGTGGCCGTTGGCTAGGACCGACTAAGGGCCCGGGATGTGCTCTATGTAACTTTTTTAGGTCACTTGCTCCAGTTCTCCACAACTATTATTTAAATAATATTTTATTTTATCTTGTGTTTGAAAATACTGATTTAGGTGTACTGTTTGACTCAACTTTTAATATGCATTATAAAATATTTCAAAAAAATCATCATCCATTCTTGGATTTATTACTAGGACATGTAAGGATTTTTCAAATCTCATTTTATTAAAAACTTTATATTTCTCTTCGGTACGTTCTACTCTTGAATATAATTCTATTATCTGGTAACCTTCTGCAAATATTCATAATACAATGCAATCCAAAATCGTTTCTTTCGTTTTATATCCTACAAATTTAGTATTCCACAGCAACCACATTCACCATATAAGCTGTTAATAGACACAATAAAATATATGAGCAATCTTTTCCGAAAAAACATACTTGATTTTAAATAATCGTCTCGAAGATCTCATGCTCATATCATGTGAAAAGGATATAGTTGTTAACACAGAAAAAGTAATTGACAATTTTGCGAGTAGTTCGCCAGCTTTAACTGAAACCTTAACTTTTAATTATTATAATATATTGCAAATTGTAGCTACCGTTGTAAAATTAAAAATACAAAATATAATAATAAAGATTTGTAATTATTAAACTTATTATAATAAATTATCAGATAGAAGAAGTACGAATATGAATAGTTTTTTTTTATTATAGGGGGCAATGCCCCCCGCCGCGATAATGTTGTGAATGAAACGGGGTAGTGGTCTTGTAACATTTTTGAGTGTTGACCAGACTATGAAAAATGTCAGTCGGTGCCACTTACCTACGGGCTACGAAACATAAAAAAAAAAAAAAACAATCTATGTTAAAAGTTAAAAATATATAGGTAGGTACAGCCCCTAATTATTGAATACAATTTAACTTACTTTTATATTTATCATATATTCAAATAATAATAAATTAGCCATGATATTTATATTATAATTTTCAAACATTTAATAATAATATTTTGTTTTATATTATATACCTATTATCCCGGAAATAAAATATTACGTTTCCTAATAATATTTTGACGATAATGTAAATATTAATAATTTTAATTATTATTAGGAGTCGTTACTCGTTTTCACAAGTTTTACACATAGATACAATATTTAAAAAGGTGGGCAAGTGGGTGTCACTCTGCTGTACAGTAGGTTACAAGTGGGTCACTGTACAATGGATGGTATTAAATTTGAATTCAATGATATAATATCATTGTATAAGAAAAACGATTCTGAGCGGTGACGGTATGTCAGTCTATGTATAAGACATATTATATACATATCTATGGTATTAAGCAAAAAATTGACCTATAATAAATTCCAAACTAATCATATCACAATATCCATTAGATACTTATTAACTTATAACGCGTTATACATCAACAAAAACCGTGATACTATCATAGATATATAATAGTCCACTTTAGAAGTTTCAAGTACCCACGAATAATATTATTCAATCACAACAAAATAACTAAAATCGTAATTCTTGGTTTAAATATGAAATTTTGTCTAAATTTGAAATTAAAATGTCTGTAAAAAATAAGTGTGTTTATATATTTTTTAGATTTTTTGGTTACAGTATAAATTAGTTAAGAGAATCTTTGTTTTAAATGTTCAACTCTTAGTTATAAAAACTGAACATTTTATAATTTTTTAATTCCAACGATTGATAATTTTCGAGATTTTGATAAATTTTGTCAAAATTCCAACTTTAAATGCTTATAAAAAAAAATTTCAACTGATATTGTAACAATATATCAGGAGCCTTGTATTAAATTTTTACACTTTTTGGCCCAACAGATAAAACTTTATTGATATTTATAGAAAAAAAAAACTAAAAAAATTGAAAGCTGTAAATGTCAATAAACAGCTCAAAAAGAGTCAAAATATTTTCAAAATTGTATGGTGTATAGAAAATGCTAATTTAAACATTCAGTGAAATTTTCATGTATCTACAGTTGTTCGTTTTTGAATTGCAACAAAATAAAGAAATCGCTACATGAGTAATCGAGTGAATATCCAATGTTGTAAAAATTTGAATTTCAAACGCTCATAAAAATTTAACTTGACTGTCCGGTAGAGATTTTTTTATTGATAAAGGTAGATAATCTTATAAGGAATCTTGTGTTTAATTTTCAAATCTTAGATTTAAAAAAAAAAATTTTTACGAATTCTTAACTCAAAATAATTTGCTAATTTTCGTGATTTTTCCATATTTTGACAATTTTTGAACTTTAAATGCTTATAAAAAAAAATTGTGACTAAGGATTTTTAATATTTTTCATCTGCCTTTGAAACAACATATTAGGAGCCTTCTATTAAATTTTCAAGCTTTCGCAACCAACAAATAAAATTTTATTGATATTTTTAGAAAAAAAACTACAAAAAAATGGAAAATGAAAATGTCCCTAAACAGTTCAAAATAAATCAAAATATTTTTAAAATGTTATCGTGTATAGAAAATGCAATTATAAACGACCAGTGAAAATTTCATGTATATACGTTCACTTGTTTTAGAGTTACACCAATAACCAAAATCGATTTTTTGGAAAACCAATTTTGCGTAAAAATTCCCGTTTTTCCTTAATTTTTATGTTGTTTTTCCCGGCGCTTGTGAAAACTTTTGCCCCCCTAAGTACCAACTAGATTCACTTTCCTATCAGAAAAGCTACTGATGAAGAAAATCCAAGCACTTTTACTGTCCTAAAACGTGATGACAGACACAAAAATATAAAAAAAAATATAAAAACATACATCATTGTAAAACCAATACATTCATCGCTCAGAATCTAAAATTATAAAATATTTCGAATGATCGATACTTCAAATAATACAAATAGTTAATGAATGTAGCTGGTACCAAATCTTTTAAATGAACCATTAACATAATGTTGTAACAAATCTTGATATGAAACAAAATAATAATATTTATAATGCTTGGAAATTATTCATTAGGTACCTAAATATAATTTTTTTTAGTGATAAGTAGGTACTAGGTACCTATTTATAAGTATATATTTGTAATTAAAATATTAAATATTAATGTAGTAATTCCACTAATTAGCTTTTAAAAATTATTTGATCTTGATACGTAATATTCGTTGTCAATAATATTGTAGTCTGATTGTTATTTTTTCTAGGGTCGGGGATGTATTTCAGTGATGGTTCGTCGGGGGTTTTCTTAATTCTGTTGCAAATCATGAAACTAGACTATTGAATCATCCTCTTGTAGAATTCTCAAATATGTAAAGACTATAGAGTACTGAACATGACTAAATAGATCTATTTAGTCATTGTACTGACTACTGAGTACCTATTGAGTTTGTAGGGTAAGTGAGTTATAGTGATCCAAGTTTTCGCGTACATACGGTATATAATAATATGAAAACAATGGTTTCAATAAAAATATTTTTATATAAAATATACCTTTTGATTTGTAAGTAAATATTTTTGTGTTGACAGTTGACACCACGTACCTCTATTTACGTAAGGGTGCTGAATTTTTATTAACCCCGTGCGTCAAATTTCTGAGATATAGCGCTGGGTAAACAGCTAATGATAATTTTATCATATTTAGCATAGACAGTAATATAAAATAATTATAAAGTTTAAATAAAAATTAAATAATTACATTTAAAAAAAAAAATTGAAATAGAGTTGAATTTTTAAAGATTTATTTATATTTTAAGAAACAATTTAATAATATTTTTATCTTTTTTTTGGTGGGGGGGGGGGGCTATTACAAATTGCGCTTATGCCCCCCCCAACCAATGGGCGCCCATGTCTACCTATCTAATTTTTAATGGTTTTATTTGGCAATTTGTACATAAAATGCCTATTTCTAGCCCCTTAACTATTTTATTCCTGTAAAGTATTTTTCCCATGTTATATTTTCCTATGAGATACTTTCCTGTATAATATTTTCCTGTGTAATAATTTCCTGGGTTTTAAATTCTGCGTTATTATTTGTCCGAAATATTAATTCCCTGTTAAATATTATTCTTGGGTAATATTTTCCTATTAAATATATTCCTAAGTATAACATTCCTGTATAATACTCTCCTGGATAATGTTTTCCTAATTTTATTTTTCCTGTGTTAAACTTTCCCGATAGCACTATGTCTGTGTAATGTTTTCCTAATTTTTTTTTTCCTATGATATACTTTCCCGATTACACTATTCCAATTTAATATTTTCCCCAACAATGCTTTCCTGGGATAAAAATATTCCTAGTAAATATTTTCCTGAATATTATTCTTCCTCAGCAATAATTTCTCGTGTTGTGTGCAGTGAAAGTGAATCTAGTTGGTACTTTGGGGGGCAAAAGTATAAATTTCACAGTAGTTTTCACAAGCGCCGGGAAAAACAACATAAAAATTAAGGAAAAACGGGAATTTTTACGCAAAATTGGTTTTCCAAAAAATCGATTTTGGTTATTGGTGTAACTCTAAAACAAATGAACGTATATACATGAAATTTTCACTGGTTGTTTATAATTGCATTTTCTATACACGATAACATTTTAAAAATATTTTGATTTATTTTGAACTGTTTAGGGACATTTTCATTTTCCATTTTTTTGTAGTTTTTTTTCTAAAAATATCAATAAAATTTTATTTGTTGGTTGCGAAAGCTTGAAAATTTAATAGAAGGCTCCTAATATGTTGTTTCAAAGGCAGATGAAAAATATTAAAAATCCTTAGTCACAATTTTTTTTTATAAGCATTTAAAGTTCAAAAATTGACAAAATATGGAAAAATCACGAAAATTAGCAAATTATTTTGAGTTAAGAATTCGTAAAAATTTTTTTTTTAAATCTAAGATTTGAAAATGAAACACAAGATTCCTTATAAGATTATCTACCTTTATCAATAAAAACAAAAATTTGAAGTGAATATATTGTTACATATTGGACAGTGTTCTGAAACTAATGATTCTAAACTCATTAAACACAAAGATTTATGTCCACATGGAGACAAGGCGTGAGTACTTTCCGCATCAAGACAAGCAACACACATATTTGCTTGGTTTTCTGTTTCAACAGCAGGAAGAACTTCAGGTACTTTGACTTGGACGTAAGGTAAATTTTGCATTTCCAAAATTCTCCTATTTTCTTCAATTTCCATCATATAAATAATGTCTATATCTAACTCTTCAGGTATAATGAAATCTTCCTCGTTCCCTATAATTAATATCAATATTAATATTATGACCCGGGGTCGTAAGTTTATGCCCTAAAAAATTCCTAAATAAGCATCAACTTTTGCACTAAAAACTAGCAAAATATACATTGAAATTTGTCTTGAAAAGTTCAGAATTATGCATTTATATTTACTAAAAATATGCAGATTAAAAAAGAAGAAATCATATTTAATTTTTGAAATAGTCTCCAACTAACTGTTGTACATTATCAAGAAACTCAGACTAGGTAACCATTTATTATAAATATAATTATAGATTAATAGGGCCAATAACAACATTTGTTTTCCCATGACTTGAAATTTCATAATATCATAGCAACAAAGGTATTCTGTACTTTCACACAAGGCTGGGGGTATTAACGAGTTAAAAGTTAAAATTAAGTTACTTAACTCGTTAGTTTTTTTTTTTCAAATTAACTTTTAACTTTATTAAAGTTACTTTTTTTCAGATTAACGTATTAACTTAAGTTAATTTTATTCAAAAGTAGGTATCTAAATTAAGTTAATTTCTGTCCGAAGAATAATGAAAATTTTGAATGAGGTTTTTAGTATAGGTACTTTTTTCGGGTAGTAGGGAGTCAAGTATGAGTTCAGAATTTCGGGATTTATTTTAGACAAGTAGGTTTTTTGATAGCTAGTTGGTACTTAGATGTATTAAAAAAATATAAAAAAAAAAAATTGTTAACTTGCCAACATTTTTTTTCACAATTACAGTTCTGTGGTTAAACTTAGGGTGAAGGAAGTTATATGAAGTAGGACATATCCTTTTTAAAGGCTAGATAGTTGTTTTATGTTATTAATGGTTATAAATAAGACAAATTAGGTTAAATTAAAGTATGCTCATCATGATAAAAAAAATCAAAATCAAAAGCACAGTAAATCAACTTACAGTGAATTTCTTGATGTTCATCTTCTTGGTTACTAGCTTGCATGTTTTCATCTAATAAAATATTGAGCATAAAATATATATGTTAATAAAAGTAGTAATATATGAAAAGTACTATACTGTGACATAATTAGGCTGAGTGATGACAGAGATACATGCCATCTAGTTGCATCAAAAAATATTTATTTTACATTGCAATGAAAATAAATCAATGAAATCAGTGAAAGAATTACAAGGAATGTTATATTCTATTTCTATAGAGATTAAATTAAAATCACATGAGTAACATTTTCACAAAAAAAACTTTACTATATACCTACTATACTATTATGGTTTTACTATACCTTGTTCGATATTATTCTGCCAATTAATTTCTTGTCCATCATTTTCTGGCTGTTAAAGATATTGTGATTTATTTATATTTATATTATATAATTAGAAATAATTATTTTATTTTATCATTATAATCACAATTACTTCAAGTATATCTTCTTCATCTGCTGCATTTATTTGGCGGTGGTCAGCATCTCCATCATTTTCTGGCTGTTAAAGATATTGTGATTTATTTATATTTATATTATATAATTAGAAATAATTATTTTATTTTATCATTATAATCACAATTACTTCAAGTATATCTTCTTCATCTGCTGCATTTATTTGGCGGTGGTCAGCATCTCCATCATTTTCTGGCTGTTAAAGATATTGTGATTTATTTATATTTATATTATATAATTAGAAATAATTATTTTATTTTACCATTATAATCACAATTGGCTGCGCTATTTGTTGCAATGGTAAGGGGTCATCATCCGAAGATAAAAATTCATCTACAATATCATCTAAAAATAAAAGATATTATTCAGTTTAAATGGTGCTGATTTACTGTCATTGAACGGTTTATTATTAATCCCAATCTTTTACTTATAAAAAGGTTAGCTAATGTTCAGGAATGGAATTCCATGTTAAGAAGTATAAAGTTATACCTTCTCCTTGATTTTTTTTTTTAAATTTTGGCGAAAACTACTTCAATAATGGCTTAGTCAGTGTCAGTCGGGCCCACCAGGCTACCCAGCAACCACTGGAGGATGTGGTTAACTTTTCTGTAGGAGGCCCAACAACAAAATTTAAAAATTTAAAATACATTTATGTTAATGTCTAATTATAACTTTCCCATTTGCTTGTGATTACTGATTATTATTATACATTATGTACCTAAATTTGTATAGTAAGTTTTTTTATCAAAAAATAATAATTATGTAAATCATTCAAATAATCATTTAAGATTGGATTTTGATACATAGTTATAACTAAGGACAGGCAATTTATGAATTTTTTTATAAAATACTTATTTTTAAAGGTATTTTGATTTATGATACGGAGTTATATTTATATTTTTCCAATTTTCCAATTTTCTAAAATAATTTTAAGAATGTATAAGTTCCTAATCTTAACATATTATAAAAGAAAGTCCCTTTTTCTTTATGTATGCTTAGATCTTTAAAACTACGTATCAGGTTTTGATGCGGTTATTTTTAATCTATAGAGTGAATCAAGAGGAAGGTTAATATGTTTATAACATGCATAATATAGATGAGAAACACCCCAGGGAGGGACCCAAACAGGAGTTTTGAAATTTACGATTTTTGTCTATAAATGGTTGCTATTGATTATAGGATAAATAATTAGTAAAAATTAGTATTTCAAAGTTTTGCCATTAGTCACTCTGGCAGATGAGGTAGTAAAAGTATCCATCAAATCGTCGCACACTTATGGTTTTGAATAAAGAAATCATATCTTAAAACAAATATGAGAGTTGTATGTATATTTGTGGCTATTATATAAAGGTTCTCAAAAATTACTTGACCAATTTTGTGAAAATTTTGATTTGTTCTTGGAGATATCAGGAATGTTTAAAGAGTAGTTTGAACCACGTTAAATTTATACCAAGTGCTATACCCAATCCACCATAGATAAATTGTTTGCAAAGCTACCCAAATTTACCTAAGTAGGTACACCAAAACCAAGATACACTTATATAATCTAAATTTTTTGGCAAACATAATCGGGTTAAAGGTACAACTAAAACGATGTTCGTTTATCCGAAGTTAATAGCCTCAAAAAATGACTGAACCATTTTTAATAAAAGTTAATTCAATAGATTATTACTTGAAAATTGGAGGGTGCTACAACTTGATTTTTCAACTCATATAGGCTGTAGATAGGTAAAGGCTCACTCATGATTTTTTTAGCATACGAAAAAATAATTTTTTTTTTGTCAATCTAAATAGTTGCAATTTGTTATAATATATTATGTTAATACATATTATAATTAGAAGAAATATGATATATAAATTGTGTACAAATGTCAAATATATTTATTAAAAATACAAATCTTTGGCCTGGACAACGTCAGGCGAGACAGATAGTATCCTAACCTAACCTATATTAGTATATAGGTATCATTTTGGGAACTAGTTATCAATTATATTTGTATCTTGTAAATTAAGTTGCCGTTTTACAATTTTTTGAAAATGGTTATAGGTTATTTGAATTTTGATATGGCTACATAGAAATCAAAAAATCAAAATGTTTGCACAGCTGCCTATTTAAAACTACTGTGCTAAGAACCCAATAATGATACAGAATGATACTGGGTTTAGTACTATTTGAGTTTATCAAAAAACAAAAAAATACAGTCTCTTTTAAAATATTATTACAAGTGAGTAACCTACCATTGACATTTCTGTTCCAGTTACCCTCTCTTAAAATATAGCCATCAACTGTATGAGAGCATTTCACTAAAAATTCATTTCTGGTCAAAATCCCAAGTTCTAATTGATCTGAAGCTATTTTAATCCGTCGTGAGTTCAGGATATATTTATTCTTCACTGATCTAGTAACTTGCATCCCTCTTGACAATTGCTCAATAATAATGTGTTGTAATTTGCTATAATCACTCAGATGACCTAATGAAAACATTAATTTGTATGTAAATTTTAGTTTATAACTTATATGCTTCTGATTAATTTTGACTGACCCAGAAATTTCCATAAATTTGGATGACATACTTGAAGCTTATCTTTCATTTTGCCATGGAAGCTTTCAATATTGTTGTTTGTGCGCCTAGCTTGTCCGTATACAGAAAAAACATTTGGCCCTGTCCGGTTTATCCATTGTCTGCATTAATTAATAATATTAATATTAGATATTACAATTTTAATATTTACACATTTTATTTGAAATATAATTAAGTAAATATATAGGAATATACTTCATGATAAATATTACCTAGAAAAATAAGTGAAAAACCTTGCCAAATTTATATTATTTATTCTAGCATATGTCTTAATGTCTTGAAAGCCCAACTCGATTTGGTCTCCAGGAAGCAATGGAAGTGCCATCATCATTTTTAAACATTTTTTTGCTAGTTCATTATCCCTTATGTATGTTGTATAATGCAACCTTTTTATATTTTTCCACAAACTCTAATAAATTATTAAAAGTTTTAAAATAATTCTTAACGTTAATATAGTGAATTATGCTAAATACTTGCCTGTACATAATGGAACCAGCACGAAACTAAAACGGCATCAGGGTATACAATTGAAAATGCATTTTTCAAGCCGACTTCATAGTCAGTCATTATAACTGAAGGCTGGACATTTGGAAAAATACTTTTAAAATTTGTTAATACCGTTAGATAGGCATTTTCAGTTTTACTTTCCATTAAAACATAACATATTGGAACGGACTGTAAATGTATAATTTATTAATTTTATTTCATTTAAATAACATGTAAAAAGTTTAAGAATAAATTGTAAAAAAGACTGTTTTACATTTGTACTGGAATTAGTGAAATAGTCTTGTTATACCTTATACATATGGTCACATAGAGTGTAATACAATAATATTTATAGTGTAATAAAAATCTAAAACATTTTCTTACGTGATTTTGAATAATTATATGCATTATAAACAATTGCCGGCATTTGGGCATGGATGGTACGACTTTGAAAGTTGCATCAGCATGCAATTCCGTACCTTCATTTAAAATTACATCATTGATAACCTCTGGACAGGCAAACATAACATGAGCTTTCCCATTGCCATCTACTACACACTCTTGAAAAAATCGATGACCATTGCACTGAATCAAGTTTTCCTGTTCTGCCAAAATCTCTCCCAAAGCATTTAGAGTTTCAGGTAGAACCGGAACATGTGCACGTCTTGCCTTACGCATTGATGACTCGGCTGATGTCCAAGGATAAGTGTAAGCCATATTTGGATTTCTAGATAATAATATTGAATAATAAGGTTAATTTTAAATATATCAAAATTATTGATGAGTATCTATCAAATTATTAAACTATTACTGAATTTAAAGACATGAAAAATGTACTTGGAGTTATTACATTAGTTAGGTATGGCATCAAAAAATATTTTATTCAAAATAAATCTAATATCTTGTTTTTTTTTTTTAATATAGTAGTAAATTAAATTATAAAAACATGTACCTACTCGTATAATTTGTCGTACCCATATCAATATTTTACAAAATGTTTTTCTTTAAATCGACTCCCAAGTGAGAACAAAATAGAGATGGATTTATTGTTCGTTTTAAAAATTACATATTCATTATCAATATATATATACCTATTAATATATTATCTTTAAAATATTTGGCACCACAGCTATAAAAACATAAACAGTGGGTTTCAGCATAATATAAGTTTTTAGAACCAACGAGACCTGAGTACTATTGGAAGTATACTCATTTTGACTTATTGCTATTTAGATTGAAAGACACAACAAATGTAAGTTAAACTCTTAATTCTTGACACAAACTCATACATTGATGCACTATTCAAACTACAAACTTATATATTTATGCAGGGCCGGACTGGGCCACTAAATTGAGTGTAAGACTAACCACTAAACTAAAATACTGTGAATACAAATTAATGAACATTTAATTACACTATTCCCAATACAAATGTAAAGGAAGTTCTCAAGTACCAACAAATATAAACATTGTTTTCAGTCACTTGCGTTTTCAATGTATAAAAATATGACCCTGTTATTAGTATAGATATTTTTGAAGTATTTGCTATAGTTACTGCGATACTTTTTATTCAAGTTAACCCTATTGGTATTATAATATATTTTGTGTTAAGAATATTTATATGAAACATTTTTTTGGGGATCTAAATGTGAACATTATTGATTCTATCCATGATGAAAAAGCTATATATGCCCGAGAGAATTATCTGATTTGTGTTTTAAATTTACTTAATTTACATATGCCTGCTTATTCTAATTTATATGCAGCCATGGAATATGTACTAATCTTATCGGTAACTCAGGTTAATTGTGAACGAGTAATTAGCAAATTCAAAATAATCAAAAATTGTCTACGCGCTTCATTATCTAATGACCCCTTAGATGTTTTTTTTATTAATGTCTGTAGAAAAATATATATTGAATGATTTGAAGATTGAAGATATTTTGGACATAATTAAAAACTCATATTGTCATACTTTATCTAAATTATTATCATACACATACCTAATTAAATAAATATATAATTTATAAGATTTATTTTGTCATACTGCTACTTAGCGTAACTGATTGTTATAATCTGTGTTTATACCTATATGTATTGATATATTTTACATTTTCTTTGTAATCAACATAAAAAAGTTCCTAAATCCTAATTCTTGTACTACTATACTGTTGAGAAAAATATAATATTTTGTTAGTTTAAGTTGGGCCGATAAATGTAGAAAACGGGCTGGTTGCTTACAAAAAATAGTGGGCCGAAACCCTTCTAGTTCGGCCCTGTATTTATGCACTCCTCAAATATAATAAATCAACACACTTAGGCCTAAGTGAACGAGCCTAAAAACGAGAATTTTCATAAGTAACCAAATTCGTAATACATGTAGGCACTATACCTGATAGCTTCTTCATCATAAATAATTTTCAAACGTGTAGTCTCGGATTGTGCTCTATCGATAAGTACTTTCCGAAATTTTTTTTTTTCAATTGTTTGAAGAAATGGATCATTAGTGTGTGATTTACCGCATACAATTGTTCCATCAATTTTCCTTTTAAGTGTACCATTACATGAGACATTTGGACTGGAGCAAGTATAATATCTAAATGGTAAAAAAAAACTAGTTTGGTAAAAAAGTTCATACTTTGGTAGTAACGTGCATATAAAAAAACTTACTCAACATTGTTTTTAGTACCATTTGATTTGTATTGATAATTTTGGTGTTCCATTTTTTAAAATTGTATTAAAACAAATTAAAATGACAAAATTAGTGTTGTACGTAAAGAGCAGTGTTCAACAGACAACATAAACAGCGTATGCGTATTAATGAAACCCGACGGATTGTACTTTGATTATAATTTGTGAGAATTCCATATTTGTTCTATTTTTACGAGCAACCCATACGGGTGTATAGAACAAGTAACAACCGGTCGCACAACAATAAATATATTCGCATATATTGTACATCGCGCTGTTGTTATCGGCATTGTTGCAATCGTAATAATTCCAGGAATAGCTTATAAATTAAATTATTTTATTTTGGTGCCTATTATATGTTTTTATTATTAGATACCTACCTAACTATTGTAGGTGCATATTACAGCGCCGGCGGAAGGCAGGGCAGAAGGGGCATCTGCACAGGGCCGCCATTTTGGGGCCCCGCGCCTTGTATGGTATTTGATAATTTGTAAGCCCATAATTTTGTTTTTCAAGTTAAAAATACAAGTCTCGGCTGGCCGTCTGTAGTAACGGCTTGTGGGTTTTTCATATAATAAACGAGTGAGAGTAAAAATAAATTATAATGCCGACGTCCAAAATAATTTGCGTATGTCGTACGTGTGTAAGACGGAGACAACAAATGCATGGGAAGCATCCTCGGGCAGTCATATTTTTATCATTATTCATTTCATCACATTATAATATATCATTATTACAATATTACTTATGTAAAAAAATATGTAAAAAAAAAAAACAACAATACAAAATGCATAGCACCTACTGTACTACATAAGTATAGAAATTACGTTTAAAACACTACTTTATCATTGTAAAATAAAATAAAATACCTTGTACCATAATTTTTTTCATATATGAATCCACATTCTAAAAATTTTCCAGGGTCTAGGATTTAAATATTTAACTCACCATTTGCTAATGAATAAATTTTCAATAAATGATATAATATCATTACTTATTCATATAATTTTATATTGTTTAATCTAAAACAAATTACTATCACATCAATTAATTGCATATTTAATGAATAAGTCCATAATATTAAATTTAAAAAGGTGCTCTGCTGTACGTGTAACCTGGGTCACTGTATAATGGATGCTATTAAATTTGAATTCAATGATACAATATCATTGTATAAGAAAAACGATTCTGAGCGAAGACGGTATGTCAGTCTAGGTTTAAGACAAATTATATACACATCTATGGTATTAAAAAAAAAATTGACCTATAATAAATTCCAAATTAATCATATCACATTATCACCATAGGCGCAAATTGACTAAATTTTTTGGGGGGACTCAAGCCCCCCTCCACAAAGGTCTTAATATAAGTAAAACAAATGTTGGAGGGAAACGCTCTCCATAAAATCCCCCACCCACTGAGCAACTATCGTTACGGATATATAATAATACAAAGTATTACATTTTTAGAATATATTTATTTTAACAAAATTCTCCGTTCTTTTTCGGCAAATACATTTAAAATATCTTCTGTACATATTTATATTATTAGATAAATCCCTTATTCCAATAAATATTAAAATATAACCTAACAAGTAAGTAATAAACATATATCTTAGTCCGTGGACCGTGGTAACAAATAATAATTATTAATGATAACAAAATGCTCCGTTCAAAAATTGGCGCGTCAACCGTCGATTGTGGAGGTCAACAGCAACCACGGCATTATTCTTTGGCTATAGATACTATAGCCGTGATCGTGACACAGCCCTCATAGTTTATCACTAGGGCTCGGATTTAAATGCCCTAAAAATATCAAAAAAATGCCCTTTCAAAAAATGCATTTATGACCTAAAACTCTAAAAAATGCCCTAAAAATATCAAAAAATGCATTATTTATTAAATAAATTCAAATTTAATTAGTATTAAAAAATGAGGAACAAAGTAAGTGCCTTCGACGTAATACGCAACACGACTGAAAGCGTCCGACAATCGGCCACGCGCACCACCGATATAATATTATCGCTCGATAAGAAAATAATCCGATAATATCGGCTAATTGGATGGTGTGACATAAAGGTTGTAAAAACCGGAAAACCTGATGTTAAATTAGTTCGAATAGTTCAAAATGAAAATAATTTTTATTACGTAGTACTATATTACTATGTAGTACTTATATTTCAATGAGGTCAATTTTTTTAGTCATAATACGACAAATAGGTCAAAAATGTCCTAAAAAATTAAAAAATGCATTTAAACCGTCAAAAAATGCTCTAAAAATGATGAAATCCTCTGAAAATGCAAAAAAAGACAAAAAAATGCCCCAAAAAATTATTATGGTTGGATTGCGAAGTACTTGAAACATATTTGTAGCTTGGAAAGCATCGCGTAAGATATCCCAAAAAAAAGATGCAAATGCATTGAAATCCGAGCCCTATTTATCACCTATAAATTACTTATCGGTTATCAATTATCTGTTTGACCACGAGGCACGGACTAAGATATGTTATAGGATTTTTTATAAAGATTTTAAAAAAAAACTAGCATAATAATAATTTTTTTTCAATAATTGTATTTTGTAATTTGGTTAAGTTTTTAAAATATATACATGTTTAGTTCTACAGAATATAATAATTAGTACTAATTACTAGATTTTGAACTGGGGGACTTGACCGAAATCTGGGGGGACTAAGTCCCCCCAAGCCCCCCTATTTGCGCCAATGATTATCACAATATCCATTAGGTACTTATAACACGTTATACATCAACATCAATAACAAACCCGGATACTATCATAGATATATAATAGTACACTTTAGAAGTTTCAAGTAGGTACCCACGAATAATATTATATGATCACAACAAAATAACTAGGTTTTTTAATATGTAATTTCGTCCAAATTTGAACATAAAATGACTATAAAAATAAACTGTGATTGTATATTTTTTAAATTTTTCGGTAAGAGAATTAACTACTTACGTGGAATCTTGTTTTAATTTTTCAATCCTTAGCTATAAAAACTGAACATTTTATAATTTATTAATTACAATTATTGATAATTTTCGAGATTTTGATAAATTGTGTCAAAATTCGATCTTTAAATGCTTATAAAAAAAAATTGTGCCTATACATTTTTAATATTTTTCAACTGATATTGTAACAATATATCAGGCGCCTTGTATTAAATTTTTACACTTTTTGGCCCAACAGATAAAACTTAATTGATATTTATAGAAAAAAAAAACTAAAAAAATTGAAAACTGTAAATGTCAATAAACAGCTCAAAAAGAGTCAAAATATTTTCAAAATTGTATGGTGTATAGAAAATGCTAATTTAAACATTCAGTGAAATTTTCATGTATCTATAGTTATTCGTTTATGAATAACAACAAAATAAGGAAATCGCTACATGAGAAATCGAGTGAACATCCAATGTTGTAAAAATTTGAATTTCAAACGCTCATAAAAATTTAATTTGACTTTCCGGTAGAGATTTTTTTATTGATAAAGGTAGACAAACTTATGAGTAATCTTGTATTACATTTTCAAGTCTTAGATTTAAAAAGAAAAATTTTTACGAATTCTTAACTCAAAATAATTCGCTAATTTTCGTGATTTTTCCATATTTTTACAATTTTTGAACTTTAAATGCTTATAAAAAAAATTGTGACTAAGGATTTTTAATATTTTTCATCTGCCTTTGAAACAATATATTAGAAGCCTTCTGTTAAATTTTCAAGCTTTCGCAACAGTCCCTAAACAGTTCAAAATAAATCAAAATATTTTTAAAATGTTATCGTGTATAGAAAATGCAAATATAAACAACCAGTGAAAATTTCATGTATCTACGTTCATTTGTTTTAAAGTTACACCAAAAACCAAATTCAATTTTCTGACAAATCGATTTTGCGTAAAAATTCAAGTTTTTCCTTAATTTTTCTTTTTTTTTTCTTGGCGCTTTTGAAAAGTACTGGGAATTTGACCTCCTCAATGCAACAAAGATATTCACTTTCCAATCGAACAAGATACTGAAGTCGAAAATCGAAGCATTATTTCGACTACTTATCGTGTACACAGACACAAAAAAAATAAAAAATATAAAAAACACACATCATTGTAAAATCAATACATTCATCGTTTCACCCAGAATCTAAAATAAAACAATATTGTATCCGTACAGATTTATTTTAGTCTAAGTACCTACCTACCTATCTTTCTAAGTATCATTATTTAGAAGAAATACAACTACAAATATTTATAATAAATTAAAATATGCATTGTGACTTGTGACATAAGCCACTTGTGTTCAACAATTGAATTTGCATACTTTTTAACATAATAACTAATAATTAATAAATAAAAACATTAAACATTTAAACTATTATATAACTTTTTCAATATAATTTATAATATATTTTTACACAAATGTAATAGATTTATAATATTATATTTAATAATGTTAAACAGATACCTATCCTATATGGCTATTAGCAAATTATATTTTGTAGCCTTGAAAGTGTCTAATTTTTTTCAGAACTTAAATTTAGTGTTGTAGTTACTGTACTGTATTCAAAACTATCATAAGCTGCTAAAAATCTTAATATGACCTTGTCGTTGTTCAGTTAGTATTGTTTCCTCTTTACTGTATCAAATATAGAATCGAAGTAAATCCAAAATATAAACATCGAATTTTAATCATAAAAAATCATAAGTTGTACTACTTTAGAGGATAAATCCAGCCTACATTCTAATGTGTTTCTCCCTAGATTTGGTTTTTATTTCGATAATATTAGTGATCATCAGACAATTAATTTAGTCATACTTTATGAATAGAAGCGGTTTTTATAGGCAAATTCAACGCATATTAATGTTTATGAAATAAATCAGTTTTTTTTTAGGAATCATTTATTTAAAAAAAAAATGCAATTTAGGCACAGACAAAAGTTTAATAGACTATCGGAGGTGGATTGCATACCTAATAATAAAATAGGGTTCGCATAAAATTATTGTCCACCATCCGACGAAGTCAGAT